CACCAGTAACTAACACTTTTCCATTTGTTAATACCGATGCTGTGTGCGAATATCGTGCGTAATTCATATGACTAGTATTATACCATCCTAATAGTAAATATTTATTACATTCAGTTTGGAAAACACCTCTTTCATTCAACTCTGTATGATTCATGGCCCTAGAGGGGACTTAGTCGGTTGTACTTAATAAAAAAATATGTTCTCTAGTTATTGTGAACCTCCTTCAGACTCACTATAGGTCGAAACATTTTCTCTATTTCAAACAAAATCTTTCAAGACGGCATCGTTTAGTTCTAAAATCCAATATTTCATCGTTTGCCAGAAGAAGAAACATTTTCATTTCGTATCATACAAAATCTTTTTCACTTAATGCTAAATCAGAAACGATCTATAGAATTCTAAACATTCTCCAGTACTCAATGTAAGTGTATGACAATTCAAAGCTCAATGATTCCCGAGAACGGAGTAAAAGAAAACCGATTATTAGTTCTTTTTATCTTACTAAGATTATTGACCAACTACTTGATTTTATCCTATCATTAAGTTTCTCATAGTTCTATTGTTATACACTGCTACAGTATAACTATGTATAAATGGAATTTGAGAACAATGCTATGGCACAAAATGCTATTACTATTTTAACGTAGATCGCTACCAACTATTGATTTTCACCATTGGAAAGAAGGGACTGTGGGAACACGCATCCACGTAAAGGTAAAAATTTTCCAAATCGTTGCTAGGCAAACTCTCGTGAAGGAAAGTTGAAAAGACACAGAATTGTTTAAAAACTTTTGTTCTTTTTTAAACAATTGTGCACCTTTTCAACTTTCCTTCACGAGAGTTTGCCTAGCAACGATTTGGAAAATTTTTATTTTTACATAGATTTGGGTTCTCACGGTCTACTCTTCCGAATCGTGAAAATCGAAGATCGATAGCTATCTCCAGGGGCGGCGCGAAGAGCTTAAAGCAGGGGGGATATTTTCAAAAATCGAAGAAAATGTAAAAAATGGAGAAAAGTGCGTCCGAAACTTTTAAGGAATGAAAGAAAGTTGTCCTCAGTTTTTCAAAACTGGAAGCAGTGCGGATGTCCAGCAGTGAAAAATATGGAAACAATTTTTTCGAAAATTTTAAAAAAATTATCGAAATTTTTAAAAAATTTTAAAAAATTTTTTAAAAATTGCTGAAAAATTTTTGTAAATTAGTGAGCAAAAAACAAAATTTCCTAAGATTGGATGAGTAGCCTCCCTCGGATTTGTCACTTGGGATCAGTGGCCGCGCGAGTGGTCTAGAATTGGGAGAGAGAGTGTAAGCCGCCTAAACAGTTTCAACAAACACCTGCACAACGTAAAATTGCCAGACGAAGGAAGGAGAGTAAAACTTTTCCGTTACAAGTGTAGATCTCGTTTTCCTTTGCTTTTTTCCATGCATAAATTTTGGAGTGTCGCGTAGTAAAATTTTTTACTTCCTAAAACCATAATTTTCTGATGATAAAATGGTTCTATGAGAAATATTATTTCAGGATTTGTCTTAGAAGCGCGTACCGCCGAAGGCGGCAGCTTTATGGAGTGCTACCAAAAAGAAAATTCAGAAAAGTGTGTAATTCTTTGAAATAAAAAGTTGACTTTTCGAGTGAGCGGAGGAAAACACTTTTTTATTTTATGTTCATCCAGCCGCCGAAGGCGGCAGATTTCTAGAACACTATTACTAGAGCTGTTGCGAAGTGTTAGAGATGGGAGGGACGGTCGAAAAATTTTTCGAAAATTTTTCAAAAACTTCTATAAGTTGTCGAAATATTGAAAAAAGACTAAGAAATTTTTTGAAAATTTTTAGAGATTTTTGAAAATTTTTGAAGACTTCTGACGATTTTTGGAAACTTTTGAAGGATTTTCGAAAAATTTTCTAAAAATATTATGAAATTTTTGAGAATTTCCTAAAAATTTCTAAATAACATCGAGCAGAAAATGACAAACTTCTAAAATTTAGGGGGAGATGACTCTCCGTCCCCTTCCCAGTCGCGGCGGCTCTGACTATTACAAATGTCCCGTCGATGTATATATTATTCAATAAAATAGGAACTAGATAGTTTTGCAGAATGACGAAGCAAATACATAGTTCTTACTTTATATTCAGCCACCGAAGGCGGCTACGCTTTCAACTGAAGTGATAGAATTCGTCCGAAATTTCTCAAAAACCAGAGGAATCTGTTCTCAATTTTTCAAAACCTAGCGAAGGTACCCAAGTAAGTCCGAAGTTCCTCAAAAATGAGAGAAAGTTGTCCTTCGTTTTTCAAAAACTGGGGGGGGGGGGGGGGGTACTCTCCCCCACCCTCCCTCGCTCGCGCCGCCCCTGGCTATCTCGTTAAAAAGTTATAAGTATTGTGCCAAATGACCTCTTTTAAAATTCCGATGACAGCCTAAAGTCCCGCTTTTACAAACTTGATCAATAGGATAAAATTAACTGTTCAGTAGCATCAGCTCAGCTTGTTGAAATAGGTCTCTCATACCTCTAACTATATGTTATTTCGTAGACATCGTTTCTCGAAAACAAACAAGTATTCATGAGAGAAAACGATATATTATCCGAAGTCGATGGTGCTGTTGTTGCAGTTGTTGAATTTAAATGAGAATTTTGTAACTAAGCAAACAGAACTAACAATAAAGCATTCGAAAGTGATCCGCTTCGTTCGTCTCCCTGTTTTCCCCATATGTACAGAATTACTAGAATAGCCTAACTTCCACTGGATTTCTGTTATTGTTAGATTTGATCAAGATACCGATTTTTCACTGAATCTCTCCTACAATTGCTGCATTCTTATCATCGTTTAATCTTCCTCTGGCTTTGGCGATTCCGTTTTCAATCTTTTACTATTGGTACTGCACTGAATCTTATCTCAGATTTGATCAGATCCGCAAACGATATGATCCCTTAATCGGTTGAATTCTCATGATTTTCAGTGGGTATAGTTAGTAGGATGATTGACAACATGCTATCGATAAACTACGATCAGAAACATCTCTTGAAAAGAAGTTTAGTTGGGTAATACGTACATTTACGAAAGAGATGAGTGATGATGTACTTCACTTAATAATAGATACTTCAATGAAATACTACAAGAATGGAGTAATCAAATTATATTAGGCTCAAAACAGCCGTTCTTCTTTGCACCCACCTACAATCACTTGCTGTTTCATTCGTTATTTAAGCTCTCAAGATAACGGTATGACCGTTGAGTCCATTTATATAAACACTCAATCACTTGTTCGTCCTTTTCATAGTCCAAAAAATGATAAATTCTTTATTCCGTCTTTTTTTTTGAGACGTACGTATAATGGTCAATGTACTGTCTCACGAAAAATGGACAAGAATGAAGAAATCAATGAAGAAAGAAATGAGGAGAAAAAGAAAATCGACAACCTGTTCTCTAGCCAAACAGTCGAATCTGTTGACTGCATATCAATTTCGGCTTCTGAAGAGTTGTTCATCAATCTTTCAAATAGAGAGAAACTGATTTAAATCTGCGGAAAATCAAATTAGAGCCACCAAAATCATCCGAAATCGCTGGTTTTCTCTTCAACCTACATTGGTTATAGACATATCTCTCATTAATCATTAGAACTTCTTTTATAAATCCCGTTGTATGAACATTCGTGCACATATACCGGAAAAAAAACGTAAATGTTCCTTTACCTGTTGTTGTCATGGCTGATGTTGTTGCTGCTGATGTTGTTGTTACAGTTGTCACTTGTCCTAAAATTTCATAGAAATAATAGAGTAAATCATATTTGAACATCAGTTGCATCCAATGAACAATATTAGCTACATGTATAAAACTATCAACGAAATTGTATGTTGGAGAATACTGCACCTATTTTAATTGAAAAACTTATCTAAAGTAAATGTAAATTATCTTTTATTGTCAATTAAATGAGAAAATGACAATCATCTTTAGATACAAGACAAGAGTTTCCTTTTTAATATAATATCAAGCAAAAACTACATTGTTTGAAATATGGTATTTTTCATTGCAAATGGTAAGAGATAAGCATTTTTCTGTGGATTTCCTAGTACTTCTGGAAACCTCTCTTGAGACATATTTGCTTAAGTCCCTTTTTTTAGCCACAAGTGTGACTATTGTAGAACAATAGATAAAAATAAACAAAGCACCCATTCTAAAACTTTTACAACAAGTTTCGTAGTGTACTTTATTTACAATCGATTGAAAATAAAAAAAATTTCTTCTTCTTCATGTTTTCCGAAGAGAAAACATGAGTTAGCAACTTAGTGAACATCAGAAAAGCACAAAATCGAGTATTTTATTTCTAAAATGTTTTTCTACAGACGCGTGTGATACATATCGGCGAGGTATTATGCTATATATAATGACTATAATATCTAATACTAGCAATATGTATGTTCTTCAAAAGTTTCTCTAAGCTGGATGGAAAAGAGTGATGTATCGGTGCAAAAATGATTACTTTTGTGACTACTGGCAAGACAATAAAGGTAACGAACAGGAAAGATGGAAAATATGATTCTATTGTACATGATGCTTTTGTAAGTTGTAGCCGAGTTACTGCTATATATGTCATACATCCTGTCAGATATGCATAGTTACCGTACTGTCCATAAGTCTCGATCTCTTTTTAAGTTGACTCGAATTCCATGTAATAGAGCGCAGTTATTTACGAAACACTATCCTTACTTTGGATTACTTGTATCTCAACTATAGGAGTATCTTAGATTTCACGGAATTCATGAATGATATTTTCTTCCTTGTCGATGGTTGACGCCAAATGACAACATTTTGCCGTAGAAAAAGAGACGACATTTTTCGAATGACCACTCCCGAAAAGGCTCATCGAAATTTCACTCTATACTCAAACATTTTGTCCTTGACACATAAGTAGTATTGGTGGTATAGAATAATTGACAGTTTACCACATATATCGAAAAAATGTCTGATCTTTTCAATGTAGCCTTCATAGAACTGTCGATATTTATATTCGTAATTATTCGGAAAACTCACGTTCATGTTAAAATTTGATAGAACCAATTTTCCGAACGATAATTCTAAGATTCTTCATTCAAAGTGTCTCTTCTTTTCCTTGATAGCGTTGTGTAACATCAACAATCAACTCATATTTAAGAAAAAAAATGTTATTTTTTCTTTCACTCAAAGATTTATACAATGGACATGATCAATCGTATTGCTACCTCAAGTATGTTGTTTTTTATTTATTGATGGAACTTTTATAAAGTCTCACAAAAAAAAGTATCTATCACTTGTGGTGATCATATAATGCTGATGATTTACCAAAAATAAGAGATCTATACCTTGTTTAAATCTGAATTAATCCAGTGTCGTCGAAACAGCTGTTCGTAAATAGCAGAGATTTTTTGATGACACTTAATTAATTCAGTTTTAATTAGAAACTACTTAAGCAAAATAAGTAAAATTCTGATTACACAAGCACTCGGTGAAGGTATCATCCTCTGAACTATCAGAAATCTGTGAAGAATAAACATACAACTGACTAATCCATTTTATTCATCAAATGCCATTCGACTTCGACATTCGAATTATGAGTTTTTCAATCGATTCCATAGTTTTTGTTTGACAAATGACCATTCCATTATCAACTCTGCTCACTGCTAATCTTTATAATTTCTCTCTGACAATAACTATTGCAAATGATATTTCTTTGAGATAAAAGAATGAAATACATGGTCGGAAAGAAACTTCGTGGGAATCTCGAAGAGAAAAAACTTGTATACATTTTAGTTGATTTCTTTCTTTCGATAGATCAGAGAAAGTCAATTTAAAAGGAACAACCTTTTCTTTTGTTTCTCTCGATGATACATCAGAACAAAACTCTTTTCTCATTGATAAAACTATACCTTCTGAATCTACTGTTTTATATCTGATGATAAGATCAGCTATCAAAACACCGGTATTAGCAAGAATCAAGACAACAATGACAATAATGCCAATGATTGTGAGCAATTTTTTTGTTCCACCACTAGCAACTCTAGAAAACAACAAGTCAATTTCTAATTATATCATAAAAAATATTGGTATAAATACGTTGCTGTCGATGATATGGTTGGAATTGTTTTTGTATCGAGGGATATTGATGAATGCTAAAATATTTAATGAAGGAAAGATATCTTGATGTTACTCTTATAAATCTAGTAATTAATAGTACTTACAGCATTATTGTTATTCATTGTTGATTTTTTGTCCTCGCCTGATTGGTTTTTGATCGACATTTAAATAAACAATTGTTCCTCAACTATTTGATAACCAAAGTTTTCTTTATCCTTTCTCACTTTCAAGAGATAAACTGTTTACAATTAATAATATTGCTCACAATGAAATACGTTTATCTGAAGAAAAAAAATTAAATGTATATATATATATATATATAGTCTTAGTTGAAAGTGATATAGAATCTTCATAGTATATCTATTTATTTCATTTACTATAGACGTATATGCAGTTCATTCAATGCAACTATTAGGGTATAACAGATTAGACTTTTTCTCAAATGATATCATGTTTGATAAACAATGAACGATGTTTAAAATAACTCACTTACGAATGATCGACGAAGTTCACGGAAAATCTAGTAGAACTTCTTTGAAAACAATGCTACTTTTCGTTTGAAGTGAATCAGAAAACATTCCTCATTAGATTGCACAAGAACATTTTCAGAAATAATTTTATTTTGCTTTATGACATGTTTTTTGAAAATTCAACTGGATTTCATTGTATTCTACATTACATGCGAGGAAAGGACATAATAATCTATCCTTCTTCATAAAATTATTATTTCTTTCCTCAAATTTCACCGTTATAAAGACTTTTTGATTTTCATTCATAGATTCTTCACGAATTGGTGAAAAATTGTAAATAGAGTAAGCTTCTAATACAATCGACGATCGTCTAAACATCCTGTATTATAAGATTGTTTCTATTATGTATATTATGAAACTACTATGTCTACATACCTGTTATTCTATTCGGAATGTTTCTTTTAACGAATGCTCGTTACCTATCTTTTCTCACCGCTTTACATACATCAACAATTTAATTGTTGTAAATGTCTTTTTTTTTCTAAATTTGGCATTGATATTTGGAGTGGTATATAATGATGAGAACAGCTGCCATGTTGCGTTCCAATTCTCCCTACATACCCTCTTCAGATGGCTTGAAAGTTTCAATTTCTATTCCAAGTGTTATCAATTAAAATCAAATTTTATTCGAAAGTGACTTACAGTAATTCATCGATATGCGCATCCGGATAAATCAGAACAACATTCTGTACAATGAGACATTGTTAGGTTTTGCCATCTTTGGATGGTGATGAAATCATTAAAACAGCAGCAGTCCCATTCGAGGAGTCAAGCTGCTTTGCTGCACTTACTAGTTGCTGTCGATTTCTTGTTGTTCATCTTGTTTGAAACTGTTAAAATGGAAATTGTTTCAATAGGAAGGCGAATTGCTCTTTTTATACCATGAGTTTATAACTGTTTTTTCGCCGATTCATGTTTTTGCGTCTCGCATACGGGTCTTTTTAATTCACAATCAAGAACTCCATCTCTTTAGTGTTGAAAGTGTTGCTCAGAAGAACACAATAGAGTCAAACAAATCGGTTTCCATGGATGAAGAACAGTAAAATAGTGTCGTTATTATTGTTCCCACTTGAAGATAATTCATTTACTCTTTATCCTGTATTTTTCTTCATCAAAAGCCTGTATATTCTTCACGGAGGAAAAAAAGCACTGTTCGATCATTCACCACAGTTCGCATTCATTCGAGGCACTCTCAATAGGTTTCTTTTTCATTCTTGATATTCTCACCAGGGGTCGGTTTCAGAGATAAATTTTCTAACCTGTTCCTATCGCTCTCAACGATGAATAGTTTTGGAAAGAGTTCGAATTGCAAACAGTTACAAAATTGTAAATGACTGAATGTAGACATAGATAAACGTAAAATTTAAATTTGTACGGTCCGTATGTTTCAACAAAATTCGAATATCTTGTTTCAATCTAGCCATTATGAGACGTGACTTGATTATTTTACACATTAACTGTTATATGTGGACATATACGAACAGACGGTCAAAATCAACTGATCATTCATTGGAACCAATCATATACTAATTGAAAATCAAAAAACAAAGAGATCGCTCAAGGGAGACGTCCAGAAAAAAAGATACAAATGGAATCATCATCTCTATTATCGCGATTACTATCAGATGCATGTAAATATTCGCTCTATTTAGTCTCATCTGTAAATCAACTACTTTGTTTTGTTTCAAACTTTCTTTAGAAACTTGTGAACATTTAGAATATAGAAGATTTATTCAAAAGTTGCATTCCTTTTTTTCAATTCAGAATTTGATTCCAAAAATGAAGACATCTGATGAGTCGCTTCAACAAGCATGAAACCGGTGATGATAGTTTGTCTCATCCTCTAGATAGGTTGAATAAATTGAGTACTTTATAACTTAGAACATGCTTGGTAATGACTATCTAAGCATAATAATCGAAACGATCATTGTATGATGTGTTGAATCTCATTCTTTTGGAACTCATTCAGTTCATTAGAATCAGTATTATAATATAGAAAACAAATAATGTTCATTCATGTAATTGTTGTATTCCTGTCGAATTAGATGTATTCTATCCTAATTCGAATCTATTTTGTTTTATGATGTATTCTTGTAAGATTCTAAAACATACGTGATGATGATCTTCTCGTAAAAGATCGAAACACCTCGTATGATATCTTGAATGAATTTTCTCATTTGTTAACTCATCCATTCACCTTCACCCTCAAAAATCAATTTTCTTTGTAAAAGCATCTTGAAATACAAACAACGTGGCAAACAACTGCCTTTTAACGACAAAAAAAAAGAAAAAGAAAGAGAACATGAATTCCATCCTATTCACGATTCTGTTTACAATGAAAACAGAATAATAAATTGCAATTGTCTGTATTGTGTAAGAAGTTTGTGAGCTACCGGAAGCATAATTGCTTCTAATTTCAATTTGAAATACAAACAATGCCAAAAACTAACATTCCCTTTCGGTGAAAAAAAAGAAAGAGAACATGAATTTCATACTATCCACGATTCTGTTGACAATGAAAAAAGGATAATAAATTGCAATTGTCTGTGTTGTGTAAGAAGACTGTCAGCTACTCGAAGGATAAGGGTAGGTGTGGGTATGGGTGTGGGTGTGACTTTTGTGTGCACTAACACCACCACGACATCCGCAGCTTATTCACATTGCCTTTTGAAAAAATTCGTCTTCAATTACAAGTTTGAAATATAACTTTGTAAAACTGAACATTCTTTCTTGTTTTGAATTTTTTAGTTTTGCTCCTAAAACAATCCAGAATAGATAAGCCATGTGGAGAGTCCATTAAGCAAGGACAAAGCAATCACCGTAAGTAGCTTGAAATTATTCATATATAAATACACCATTCACTAAAAAAATACTTGCGATCTATATCTTTTTTTTAACTCAAGATTGGCTTATAGTTGAAAGTTTCTACTCTTATAACTTGCCTTTGAATTTTGAGTTTTTGAAAAAATTCTTATGCAAGTTTCTCTAATTCCAAATTTACCTGACGAGTTCCTCAAGCAATGACGAAACGATCGACGTAAGTAGCTTGGAGTTATTCATATATAAACACATCCATACTCACATCCACCCTTCAGTACATTTTCAAGTAGTTAGGAGCATCTATGGAACTAAAACCGAAATTTTTTGAATTGGGAGAAAATACCTTCAGTTTTTTTTTTCAAAATATTCCTTTGAAATTTTCAATTGACCATCAAGATATTTTGATGAAACTCCCTTATCATCACTCTCACCATTGCGATGTTGTGTGAGAGATAGAGTGATACAGAGACAGACAGAGAGTGAGAGATATAGAGGGATAAAAATAGGGACGGATTGAGAGATATCGAGAAGAATATGTGCAGAAAAGCGAGATAATTATGAAATTCAAACATTTTTCAGAGTTCTGTTGCAAGATCAAATGGTATTCAAACAATATCAAGCTTTTCTTGAGGTTCAAATTCAATTTTTTGAACAATTCTCTTTAATATTAAGCAGTAGAATGTTCAATCAGTGGAAAACTTTTACTTAGACATCATAATTTTGTGATCAAACTTCCTTTTTAGTATTTGCATCATTGCGATGTGTATGAGAAAGGGAGAATCAATCAATGTCATGCAAATGAATTGAACAGTGAAAATTGAATGTTTTCGAACATTTTTCGACTACTTCAGTACATTTTCAACTAGTTATGAGCATCTACGGAAGTTGAATCGAGATTTTTTGAATTGGGAGAAAATACTTTGGGTTTTGTTTCCAGGTAGTGGATGACTTTTAGTTGTTTTAATGTTTAGAAGTCTCTTCATGGTTTCTTTTGCTATATAACGAAAAATTAGGAGGTTTCTCTAGCGTACAGTTTCTGATGCAATCTTTTGTTTTCGAGATGTTCGTGATTTTTCGTTCATTTTTTAGGGCGTGGGTCAAGGGCTAGTCACATGTGAAAGTTTTTCTAAGGGTAGATTCGAATAATTATGTTTGTCGAACTTTTTTATGATTCCGTCTGTTGTGAGATAAGTCTGTATTCGAGCGGTATAGAAAATTCATAGGTCGTTTACATTGGGTTGTATGTGGATTGCTGATATATGTATTTTATTATGTCCTCTTTTAGGTAAAGTTTTTTTTTTTTCTTATTCCCTCGACTGTAGGGAGGGTCATATGAAAAAAAATAGTTTGTGTGTTTGTGTGTTTGTGGCAGGGTCAAAAGAACATACCAGAGAGGTTAGCTTATTTTAAGACTTTTGGTCGTTTTGAGTGAACTTTGCCATAGGTTATCGAGGGCCCTGAATCCGAATCCATTGCCCATTTCGGTGGCCGAGGTCTCATTAGTTGAAAACCGACCAATCAGAAACGAACTTTCTTATTTTAAAGGCTTTTGACCTTTTTGATGGAACTTTGCTATAGGTTATCGAGGGCCCTGAATCCGAATCCATTGCCCGTTTCGGTGGCCGAGGTTTCATTGGTCAGGAACTGACCAATCAAAAACGAACTTTCTTATTTTAAGACTTTTGGCCGTTTTGATCGAACTCTGCTATAGGTTATCGAGAGCGCTGAATTTGAACCCGAAGGCCATTTTTTTGGCCGAGATTTCATTGGTC